GAGGTTAGCGGCATACCCACAGTGCCCAAGGGCTTACTCCTGGCCCTGTGGTGAAGGATCATGCCTGGAAGTGCTCAGGGGACTGTTTGTGGTACTGAAGATCTAAGCGAGGGACAGCTGTGTGCAAGGCAGGAGCCTACACCCCTCTCTATTGCTCTGGCTCTGGATTCCTGTTTGCAATGGTTGGGAGAAATTAAAGAAACATGGTAGAAATCACTTTTTTCAGAATTTTTTCCTGTAAATTAATGAGATGAAGCAGTCAATGGAGAAAACTGGAAGTCAAGGAAGTGTTTTTAATTATTGCTTTTGTTTTAATATTTTTAAAATTTTAGGCACCATGGTTAATAATTAGGAATTCTTGCAGAAATCACTACAATGGCACATCCTCCACTAAAGTGTTCATTTCTCTCCAGCATTGTCCCGGTATTCCCTCTTCTTATTTCCCCCTCACCCACTTCCCCTCATAGCAGGCTTCCTACTGAAGACCAGTTCTGGGTTTTTGTTGTTTTGTGGCATTTGTGGTTCCCCTCTTCCTATCCTTCAGATGAGAGAGATCATTCTGCGTTTGTCTCTCTCCTGTCTGACATCACTCAGTATGATAGTATGATCCAGGTAGTAGCAAATTGTATGAGTTCATATTTTCTTATAGCCAAGTATTATTCTGTTGTATATATATATATATAAATATATATGTACCATAGTTTCTTTATCCATTCATATGTTCTTGAATTCTTATCATTAGGGAAATGCAAGTCAGAACAACACTGACATAACATCTCACTCCAGTGAGACTGACACACATAGAAAAAAAATACAAAACAATCAGTGTTGTTGTAATTGTGAACCTTTGTTCACTGCTGAGGGGAATGTTGACTGACCCAGCTTTCTTGGAAAACAATATGAACACTTCTCAAAAACCTAGAAATTGAGCTTCCACATGACCCAGCAATTCCACTCTTAGACACCTTTGGGGTACCGAAGGGCAAAAAACCTGTATTCAGAAAAGACAAAATTTGCCTTCCTGGGTTCATTGCAGCTCTATACACAGTAACCAAAATCTGCTGTTGCTTGAGAGATGTGTGCTTTAAGAGCTGAGAAAGGGAAACAAGGGTTGTAGGAGTAAATAGAGGGAGGAGTCAGCAGGAGTGATGTTCTTGTGTAAATCGAAGAAGACAGGAAAGGGGCTGGGAAGATAGTAAGGAGTTTGTTTTGCATGCGGCTGGTCCTTGGTGCCCCATATAGTATACTGAACCTTGCCAAGAGTGATCCCTGAGCAGAGCAAGGAGTAATCCCCGAGCATCGCCAAGTGTGTCCCAGGGAGCATTAGAAAGTCCGGTAGGGCACTTGCCTTAAACATTAATGATGTGGGGTTTGATCTCCAACGCCCTGGGTGTTCCTCTAAGCCCTGCCAGGAATTCTCTCTGAGTGTAGAGCCAGGAGTAAGCACTGGCACCTCCACACCTCCAGTGTGCCCCCCAAACCAAAATCAAACAAGCATGAAAAAGGAACCTACTGCACAAAAGCAAATCATGGATGGAGATGGGGGCAGCTTACAGATAGTGACTTCTTTCTCTAAAGAATGAGAAACTATTAAAATTTCCTGAACTATTAAAATTTCCTGATAGCCCAAGAGACTGAGTACATGTATACTTTGAGTACCAGCCAGCATGCATGACCTCCTGAGCCACTACAAAAGAGGACCCTAAGCACAGAGGGCCTGGAGTGGTCCTCGGGCATTGTTGGGTATGGCCTCAAAACCTCAATAAATTTTTTTCTTTTTTTCTTTTTGGGTCACACCTGGCGATGCACAGAGGTCACTCCTGGCTCTGTACTCAGGAATTATCCCTGGTGGTGCTCAGGGGACCACATGGGATGTTGGGAATCGAACCCGGGTCAGCCACGTGAAAGGCGAATGCCCTACCCATTGTGCTATCACTACAGCCCCCTTCAATAAAATATTAATTTAATGAATAAATAGTATAATTATTATTACTATTCATGTATACTCTTTTCCCTTTTGCCAGTGACTGCCTCAAGTGCTGGGGGCAAAATCCAAATAGTTAAAAGCTTATCTAAAATTAAACACTAAAAATATAGTTCTCAAAATAAACTAGATGATAACTTCATGTCCAGAAAAGCTGAATCAGATCCTTATGTTTATCTCAGCAACTTTTCCAGCTTTCTTGTTAAATCAGGATCCTTATGCTGTTACTGAGAATTGCCTCAGCAACTCTTAAAAACAATTTATTTTCTGTTTTACTTGAAAATAATCTAGCTAGTCCCCCAAATTAATTTTTTTTGCATATTAACTTTTTGAGAATGCCGTGTGGTTAATTTTGTATTTGTGCTGAATTTTGCTGAGTAAGGATTTTAAAAATCATCACTTTATGACCATCAGTAGCTTGATACCACCTTAGACAAAATTGGAACTATGATGAATTCAAATCCTTTGGGCTCATATACTTTGAACATATTCTTTGTAAAAGATTAAATCATACATTGTAATTTGAAGGAAACCTTTTAAAATTTTTATTTTTTTAATTGAGTCACCAGGGCTAGAGCGATAGCACAGCAGGTAAGGCATTTACCTTGCACACAGCCGACCCGGGTTCGATTCCTCTGTCCTCAGAGACCCGGAAAGCTACTGAGAGTATCCCACTCACATGGCAGAGCCTGGCAAGCTCCCCCGTGGCATATTCAATATGCCAAAAACAGTAACAAGAAGTCTCTCTCACTCTCCCTCTCACAATGGAGACGTTACTGGTGCCCGTTTGAGCAAATCAATGAACAATGGGAGTGGGAGTACAGTGCTACGCACTTTTCCTCTCTCTCTCTCTCTCTCTCTCTCTCTCTAACCCCCACCCCGGCACTATGGTCTGCAACACAGATACTGAGAGGTTATCGTGTTTATTTCTTTGCCTACTTTCAGCACACAGTTCTTATTCAGAGTGATCATTTCCAGCTATCTTTGTCATAATGATCTCTTCTCCATCCCAATTGCTTTTGCCCCCAGTACTTGAGGCAGGCTTTCAACTGTAGGCTATCCTTCCTTGCCTTTGTTTCTGCTGTTCTTGGTCATTCATCTCATATTATCTTTTTTCTTTATATTCTATAAATGAATGCAATTGTCCTTCTCTTAAGGAAGCTTTAAAACAACTGGCACATAGGATGATTCTTTCCTGGGGTCAGTCTTCCAAGAAGTGCTCTGGAAGATGTGGGGTCTTCATCAGGGATTGACCACTGGCTTAATGTAAGGGCCCCAGGATGTGATGCTGTTGCATGAGCTCTAACTGTTATATACTCTCCTGGCTCCTAAATAATTTATATACAAATAAATAAAGAACTCTGCTCATCTTTGATGTAAGTTAGATATTTTCACTTTTTTTATTGGGGTGAAGAAAAATATCTAATACAACAGATTTTTTTCTGGTAAATTTTTAAAAGTTTCTTAATTAAGGCACTGTGATTTTCAAAGTTATTTATAGTTGGGTTTCAGGCATGCAATATTCCAACAGCAGTCCATGTCCCCAGTTTCCCTCCCACACCTCATATTGCCTTGTTGACAGGCATAGTTTTGAGTTTGATTGTTGTAGTTTGGATTTCATGGTTTCAGTTTTATCAGCTCTCTGGTCCTGTAGTTGTAGTTATACCACAACTCTACATTGCTAGTGTGTCCCTGCTTTCCACCCCTGTTTCCTCCCAGCTGCCTCTTCTTACTGTCCTGCCTCTCTCTTTTGTTCCTCCCCTATCCTCTAAGATTTACACTCTAGGGACCAGAGTAATCTCAGCATCTCCTTCTTGATACTTTTCATTTCCTTGTCCTATTGCTCTGTATGCCACAGAAAAGTGAGATCATCCTATATTTGTCTTTCTTCTGCTTACTTACTTAGTATCACTTAGTATGATATCCTCTAGTTCCATCCAAGTTGTAGCAAAAGGGGATGATTTCATCCTTCCTTGCAGCTACATAATATTCCAGTGTGTGTGTGTGCGTGTGTGTATCACACCTTCATTATTCACTCATCTGTCACTGGACACCTCGGTTGATTCCATATTCTAACTATTAAGTGCTGCAATTAATAATGATGTGTATGTCTTTTGAATGTATACCTTTATATCCTGGAGATGGATACCAAGAAGTGGAATTGCCAAGTGATAAGGAAACCTTATTTTTACTTTTTTGAAAAATTTTCATACTTTTTCCATAGTAGTTGAACCAGATAACACTCCCAATAGCAGTGGATGAAAGTTCCTTTTTAATCACATCACCATCAATATAGTTCCCATTTTTTTTTAGTATGTGCCATTCTTACTGGTATGAGATGATATCTTCCTCTAGTCTTTTGATTTGGATTTACCTGGTAGTAAGTGACGATAAGCACTTTTCCAGGTGCCTGTTGTCTATTTGCCTATCTTCTTCAGAGAAGTTCCATCTCATTTTCTCTCCCCAGTTTTTGGATAGGGTTTTTGGTTTTATTGTTATTGATCTTTGTGAATTCTTTATATATCTGGTAAGTTATTGAATTTGGAAATAAGCTTCATATGCTTGTTATATCTGATACTTATCAGTAAAAAGTAAAAGTAAAGGTCCTCCCGTTGATCGTCGATTTGCTCGAGTAACGTCTCCATTGGAGACTTTGTTGTTACTGTGTCTGGCATATCGAATACTCTCGGTAGCTTGCCGGGCTCTCCGAGAGGGGCGGAGGAATCGAACTCGGGTCGGCCATGTTGGCCGCTTGTAAGGCGTACGCCCTACCCGCTGTGCTATCGCTCCAGCCCAGTTATATGTATTTAGTAATTTGTATACTAATAAGTGTCATATGTGTAGGTAAGTTGCATATGTATCAATATAGATACATATGTGTAAGCACATATACATATATAACATATGTAACTCAATTCCATTATGTACATATCATATATTATATATATCATTACTCACTTCCACTATACAAGTTGTATTCAATCAGGAGGGTTTTTCTTTTTATTTTGCTCCACAGACATGAACGCCTTCACACCAAGAAAGGTATCTTCAACAGGTCTTTAATTTCCAGTCTAAAGGATGTAGATGATTTAGCAACTTTAGAAATTTTAGATGAGGTAAGAAAAATAGTAATTAAAAAAATTCTAATTTAAAAAAATTATAGAAATTGTTATGTCAGCAAGAATTTCTCTGAATGGCATCTAGAACCCATGTGTGTATGTACGTGTGTATATGTGTGTGTCTCAATTTCCCAAAGAATTCCCCTATTTTAAATTTTAATACATGAAACTCATATTTTCAGATCTCTTTAGCCTAGTGTTACCCCCTTTTTGTTCATACTCAAGTTATAAAGGTGTTGAGTTCCACCACTATGAATTCCTAGGGTAACAGCCCTTTTTCTGAATTCTTTCTGGGAGTCCCAAGGGCTGGTTTACTCAGTTTAAAAAAGTCTGCTTCCTGCAGCCTCCAAGTGGGTCACCTGCTCTGCACTTGGTGGTGCCCAGTCTCCAATATTCTTCCAGCTGGTCCATTCTAGCCCGTGGCTCCACTGTTGGAATCACAAAGCATCTTCACTCACAGTGTGAACTTTTTAGAACACGGAATTCTCCTCTGAACTCCTTATCCCAAGAATTTCACAATGTTTCCAGTGACTCTTGTGAAAATAATCTATGTCAATAAATTACAGCATTGGACTCTTTTCTACCCATACTTCTTTATTCCAGATAATCAGATCATTAGAGAAATAAATGGTCCCTTTTTAGTAAAAGGTTAGGATCTCTATCCTGCCTGATAAAAAGATTTTTATTTTTCAATTCTCATTATATGTGCCTGAGCGTTTCATTCAGAAAAGCAGCAAATCAGGAAGCATTTTCAGAACAGAAGCAGTCATTTGGTAAATTCAGGGTTGCATAAACAACCCAAGTACTTAAGCAAAATAACCTCTCTTGAAAACATCAAACATTTTGCAATTAAATAGTGTTTGCAAGTGAGAGCTTATCAACACCTTCATGAATCTTTAGCTATCACAGTTCCCAATTATGTGAACTCCCAGTCTTAAGGGTTAAAAGGAGGCTTTGCTAATTTCTGACGTATATATTAAACTATGAGCTGGCTTGTTTATATTGTCTGTATTATGTTTTTGTCTTTTGTTAAGCCCAAGATTCTGTATTCTTCTCTGTCATATCCTATAAATGGTGATTTATTGCACTATTAAAATTGATTTTATGTACTCATATGATTTATCAACAATGAAAGTTCCTTCCCAGAACTTTTCACTCTGCCTCCTAAAACCAAATGTCTAAGTAAAAGGTTATGAAATTCCACAGAGCCACTGAATAACCTTGAGTTGGAGTAAAATTGCATTCACTATATCTTATCTACATTTTTTCTTAATTTTGTTGGAAACAAATGAAGATTTGTTTCTGACCTGATAGTATATAATTGGTTTTCAATATGTCTGTTTCTTTCTTACTCTTGGTTCCAGATTTCATATACTTTACTTGTTTTCTTTTTAAATTGCAACTGACTGTAAATTATTTTCAAAATTTTTTAAATTTTATTATAGAATACAGTCTCAGATCAACTTGAAAAATGCTATTCCAGAGATCAGATTTATATCTATGCTGGAGATATTCTCATTGCTCTGAATCCTTTTCAGACTCTGGGTCTTTATTCTACAGAGGTATGTGGTGTGGGTCACATTCATTTGTATAGATAAGTATGATATCCAAACACCTAAACAAGCTTAAATGATGTTAAAGTAAATTTTATTTACTATCTTGAATAAACAGCCGTTTATTCAATAACAATAGTAGATGTAGCACTGCACTGTAGTACTGTCCTCCCGTTATTCATTGATTTGCTCGAGGGGGCCTAGTAATGTCTCCATTCTTTTAGAAGCATTGTGAGACTCGTTGTTACTGTGTTTGGCATATCCAATACATAATGGGTAGCTTGCCAGGTTTTGCCATGCAGGCGAGATACTCTCAGTAGCTTGCCGGGCTCTCCGAGAGGGCAGAGGGATCCAACCTGACTTGGCTCGGGGCCAGCCGTGCGCAAGGAAAACACCCTACCTCTGTGCTATCACTCCAGCCCATAGTAATTATAAGACATTGAAATCTGAGAGCATAGAAGGTGAATCCATCTGAACGCAGATTGTGGTCTTGCTTTTTTCAAACTTATGTGGCAAAATGTTAGTTGCATCCAGCTATTGATAACTGGGCCACACCATGTGTCAAATCAATAAACAGATGCCCTAAGATATGTGCACTTTCTGTCTTACTTTAAACCAGGTATAGGAGAATCATAAGCATAGTTATGTTGTCTGTCTAACATATAATCTAGCAGCTAAAGCATCTAAAGCATCACTCTAAGTTAAAAATTCCTATTGATAAGTCACAGTTTTTAATATCAACATTTAATATTTTATGAACATCAATATATATTTATTGTTCAATACCAAATGATTTAAGTACAGGAGAATCTTCTAGAATTAAATTAGACTATTTTCATTTTTAATAGAATTTTATCTCTTCCAGTTAATTATGTACTCTAGAAAATACCATGTCTGATAGTTACCTTTTGTGTAAGAATATTTTTATGTCATCCTTTACCACCTTAAAATTTACTTTTAAAATAATGATAAATCTATGAATCTTAACCTAAATTTCAGAGATGTAGAGTGTAGTGAAAATTCTGTCAAATAAATCTGATATTCACCAAGTTATGTGAATATACTTTAAATGATGTTAAAGGGGAAAAATTAACTGTCAGACATTATTTTATCAAAAAATAGCAAATAAAATGGTATCTTGAATCAGAAAGATAGTAGAAGAGTTAAGGCACTTTATTTTCATGTAACTGACCCTGAATTGATCCCAGGCACCACATATGGGCTTCCAAGCACCACCAAAAGTGGTTCTTGAACACAAAGCCAAGAGTAAACCCTAAACACCACTGGGTGTGGACCCAAAACAACAAAAAATATTATTGCTGTATTATGTGTTTTCTTATTTGAAGACATAGTAGTACTCCAAAATCTCAAAGTTCTCTGCTAACATGGTCATAATACGTCATACCATGTTTGGCAATTGGCTTTTGTTTTACATAATTGTGCCTGATATGTGCATATGTGTGTAGCATGTGTGCAATATTGTGGTGGTATGAAATGCTATTTTTCTTTAAAATATGAGGCTTATATGAAAATAATCAAGGGTTTTAAACAAAACCCCTACAAAATGTTCTTTTTAACTTTAGCATTCCAAACTTTACATTGGAGCGAAAAGAACTGCCAATCCTCCTCACATTTTTGCAGTTGCCGACCTAGGATACCAGTCTATGGTAACATATAATTCAGACCAGGTAAGGCGAAATCACAATTCTTAGAAATGGCATTATTTGTTTCTTTTGTATTAGCTGAAATTTGTGAGAAATCTTTTCGCATTTTTCTTTTCTCACTGCAGTGTATTGTTATTTCTGGTGAGAGTGGAGCTGGAAAGACAGAAAGTGCCCATCTTTTAGTTCAGCAGCTGACAGTACTAGGAAAGGTATAATTATTCTTTCTCTGTCATGACAAAACATTGGTTTATGCCAAAACTTGATATAACTGACTGGATCTATATATAATAATTTCTATATTAAATAATGCAGATGAAATAAAAAGCACTTGTTGTGTGTTGTCAGTTTAAAATGTAACATACTATGAAGAGAACATGATCTATGTTAAGGATAGCCTAACTTTCCTCACTCTGAGTAGTTAATCACTAATGAGTGATTTTTCTCTCTTCTTAGCCCTCACTGAATATTTCTTCAAATTTTTCTCATCTCCTGACTAGTAGTTTTATTGGAGGAATCTTGTAAAAATTAATTATTGTTTTATAGTGTATATAAGCCTCGGAGAGCCTGGCAAGCTACCAAGAGTATTCAACATGCCAAACACAGTAACAAGAAGTCTCACAATGGAGATATTACTGGACCCGCTCAAGCAAATTGATGAACAACGGGAGGACAGTGTTTGGACAGTGTATATAAGCAATGATCAATTTAATATTGAAATTTAATCACTCAGCACCAAATAATGGGGGGTTATTTAAGTCTAAATCTTAAAAAACACAACTGATTTCAGCAAGGTAACACACTGAAAATAATCTTCTTGATTCAGTCTCTACCAAGATGTAAATTCCTGAGGCCTGCTAAAATTCTGTAAGGGTGCTTTTCTAAAAGTGGTGGCTGTTTGACTCCCAAATATCTCTATTGGCATAATTTAAGGAAAACTGTAAAGAAAAGTAAAACCATATAATGTTTGAAGGAAGGAGAATATAAGGAGACAAGAAGACCCTATGGCCTTCGCTAGGGTTCTATTCCTCTATCCACACTGCTGAGCTATTTTTCCTTTTCTTTTTCTTTCTTTTTTTTTTTTTTTGCCCCTTTTTGGGTCACACCCAGAGATGCTCAGGGATTACTCCTGGCTCTGCTCAGGAATTACTCCTGGCAGTGCTTGGGAGACCATATAGGATACCGGGAATTGAACCCGGGTCGGCCACATGCAAGGCAAATTCCCTACCCGCTGTGCTATTGCTCCAGCCCTGCTAAGCTATTTTCCAATCTTCAAAATTATTCTCTTTCCTCTACTTTGAACTCACAATTATCTCTAGCCCCTTACGTTCATACTTAACAGCTTCCAAGGGAAGTGGTTCTGGATATGGGAAACACTTAGATGAGGACCCAGGCAAGTGGAGGATGAATAACAAAACTTGAAGAGTACCTTAATACACACAGACTATTTCTAACTTGTATTTGTAAACTGCTTACTGAAAATAATTAAATTTGAATCAAGATCACATAGAATATTTCTAAGGAATAGAAATTGAAATCGATTTTAAAAGCAATTTGGTGGCTACACATACTGGGGAAGATCTAATAGGCCAGGTTGGGACAAGTGACATCACAGCAAAGATAGTCACCTGTATTTCCAGCTAAAGTTCTTATCAAAGAAGATATGATATATACTACATTTGTATTTTTAATATGTTTTCATATCTTGGCAATTTCTCTAGGCTAATAACAAAACCCTGCAAGAGAAGATATTACAGGTGAACAACTTGGTGGAAGCTTTTGGCAATGCCTGCACTATTATAAATGACAATTCCAGCCGATTCGGAAAATACTTAGAAATGAAATTCACCTCCTCGGGATCTGTAGTGAGTGCTCAGATTTATGAATACCTTCTAGAGAAATCCCGAGTTATCCACCAAGCTATGTAAGTTCATGAAAGTTATCTCTGCTCTACTGGGAAGCTTACAAAAATTTAGCCTTTGTTTTGATAGTAATCACTTATCACTTATCACTTAATCCCCGTTATTCATCGATTTATTCGAGCAGGTGCCAGTAACGTCTCCATTCATCCCGGTTGCGTGCTAGCGTAGCCCAATGGTATCTGTTCGTTTTAGGAACATGTAGAGCCTCAAACCGATCATTTAGGGTCTTGACGAAGAAGTCTGACCATCTTATAGGTGGGCATCCACGTGATCTTTTGATGTCTCGTGGAATCCAATCAGTAATGGCTCTAGTCCAGCGGTTGTCTGTAAACCTCATTATGTGTCCAGCCCATCTGATTTTTGATGTCTTGGCAAATGAGACAGCGTCCCTGATTCTTGAGCGTTGACGAAGATCAGAACTCCGGATTCTATCTCTCATTTGAGTGAATTGTGATATTCCAAGCATAGTTCTTTCGATTCCTCTTTGAGAGACCCGAATAGCCTTCTCATCCTGTTTTCGTAGGGTCCAGGTCTCTGAGGCATATGTTAATGCAGGAAGAATAGTGGAATCAAAGAGATGTGCTCGGAGCTGGAGGTTCTTTGTCCTTTTAGTTATTTCTTCAGTGCTCTTGAAGGCATTCCAAGCCGCTCTCTTCCTCCTGCGCAACTCAGGTGCCAGGTCATTCATCATGTTGATTTCTCGACCTAGGTAGTAATACGTCTTGTTAAAAATTAATTTTTAATAAATATTTTATTATGTACAAGACAGTCACTATTGGAAACAAAGAGGTCCCCTAGCTTTTGTTTGCTTTCTTACTCTTACATATATGTTATATCTAGTACAGGAGTTAATGAATAGCCTAAAACTTATGATACTGAACAGATAACCTAAGTTCATCCCAAAGGTGCTGTAGCACTGTAGCACTGTCCTCCCATTGTTCATCGATTTGCTCGAGTGGGCACCAGTAATGTCTCCATTATTACACTTGTTACTGTTTTTGGCATATAGAATATGCTACAGGGAGCTTGCCAGTCTCTGCCATGCGGGCAGGATACTCTCGGTAGCATGTGGGGCTCTCTTAGAGGGATAGAGGAATTGAACCCAGGTTGGCCACGTGCAAGACAAACGCCCTACCTGCTGTGCTATCACTCCAGCCCCCCAAAGGTGCTACTTAGATAAATTTGAACTATTTCTTAAGTAAGAATATATTTTTCAATGCGTAACTAATGTGAAATTTAATGAGAAATATTTATTTTTAATGTTGATATATATATATAAATGATTATTCTAGTTAATTCCATTTCTCTCATGGTTAAATGCAAGAGACTAATTTAAATATTTAGGAATAGACTTTATAACACTGCTTTATTTACTGCTGGCTAATTAAAGGCACCAATGTGATGTTTTGGTATTAGTTTGGATGAGTTTCTTTAACAGTTTGTAGATAAATAATAAAAACTTCTCTGCAGATCTAGTGATTCCAAACATTTCCTATTTCCTTATGAGGAAACTATAGTCATAAAATTGGATTGTACTCTGGTGGTTATTTCATTATTTATTTTAACAGTTTAGCAAGTCAGTCTCGCATTTACATAGTTATTTTGTACTAAATATATCTATATTATTGTACTAATATGGTTTATGTTGAATTTCTGGGAACATGGGTTTTTTTGTATTATCATATTATAATTATTTGTTAGGAAATGAAAATTACTATTATGTAATTTATGAGTAAATTATAAATATAGGTTGCCTGAAGTTAAGATTCTGAACTCAAGCCTCAGTGTAAAAAATTTTATTTTGGTTCTCAGTTCAAAAATCATACTGAAAGAGTTATTTTTAGATAAGTGTGGCTTTGAACTGTGCCTTCATTACATGAATTTCAACCTTGGGTGAGATATTTAAACCTTGAAGATCCTTACAGGATTTCAGTTCTCTAAACATACTGTGATTATGATTTGACTTCAGTATTTTATCTTTAAAATGGAGATAGCAGCAGTACCTATTTATTGAAGATCTTGCCTGGAAAGTATGTAGTGTAATGAATAGTACATGGTGAGAACCCCATAAACTTAAACCATTATCGACAGTAGCATTGATAATTCCAAGAAGAGTGTAAATAACAACTAGACTGAACATGAAGTGTTGAAGATGTCCATTAAATGACAGCTGCACTTATCAGTCATATCCCAGGAGCACGGAGCATGGTAGATATGCAGGACTTTACACAGATGTGGAGATTTAACTGATTTTCCAGTTTGTCCTACTCACATAGTTGTGTAAAACTTTTTTCGTCAGGCCTTTGGATAAGGACTATCCAGGGAGCTAAATGATGGCAATGCCAGTGAACCCACCACAAGGGCGAAATAAATGGGTGTTGAGTGGTGTTACACGAAGGACGGCCATTCCCATAGCATCCCAAGGGAACTGTTTAATGAGGCTTTGGGTTTCAAATCACAGAAAGAACCTCATTCATGCTCATCAAAATATTGTGGTGTATATTCTAGGAAATAGAACAATAAACATTGTGTTAATGCATATGATGAATTAAGTAAGTTTTAATTTAGCTGGCCTATAAGGAGATTGGACTGGAGTAATGGCACAGCGGGTAGGGCTTTTGCCTTGCATGTGGCTGACCCCGGTTCGATTCCTCCATCCCTCTCGGAGAGCCCAGCAAGCTACCGAGCGTATCCCGCCCACACAGCAGAGCCTGGCAAGCTACTGTGACGTATTCAGTATGCCAAAAACAGTAACAACAAGTCTCACAATGGAGACGTTACTGGTGTGCCCCCCCCTCCCAGCAAATTGTTGAACAACGGGAGGACATTGCTACAGTGCAATGTAAGGACGATTCTGGGTTTTCAGTGTTGTTGACTGGGGAAAAGCATTCCAACCCCTAGTTTCCAATCAGGCTGAAGGACAACTTAGTTATAATTTAAATCCAGCTGACTTAAAATTTTTTGAGGAAAACATCATTTCCTTTTCTCTACATCTGTTTTGCTAAATTTTAATTACCTTTTTCTTATATTCTAAAGAACCCATTTTCAGTGGACTTTGAAAAGAAAAATTGGCAGAAATACAGTAAAAGAATTCTTTAAATTGTTTTTCTTTTGTTATTATTGAGGTTATGTGCTTTACAATGGTGCTGGTGTCTATGCTTTTGATACAACAGCGGAATTCTTGCTAAGTATGAGTCATTAAGTAAAAAATGCAGCGCATCACTCAAGGTACAGAATGGAAAGAACAAATGAAAGAACAAACTCTCAGAGGACTGTTTACAAAGTCCAAAAGGGCATCTTAGAACCAACATTATCTACTCTTATAATGGTGAGAAGCTTCTGCAAGTTGGTCTGAAGTGCAGAAGGAACAGATAGTCCCAGGAGGCCAGTGGATGCTGTAGTGGGGGCTGTCTGTCAGGAGCTCTGTCCCTGTGAAGGAGAGAGCAAGGGCACAAGCACACCCAGCTCTGCCTTCCCACCTTCTACTATGGCTTCTTATTAATCCAGCTGAAAGCCAGAGAGCAAGGGACCTCAGAGTCTGCAGCCTGTTGATGTTTGCTTTTAGGGTCACAGAGCAAAACAAAGATGAGCAGAGAATTTATCTGAAGCATCTGAGAAGGACAGAGTGATGCATTAGACTTAAAAATACATTTGTGTATTTCTTATGGGGAAATAAGATACTCTCTACCAACCCAGGTGGGAATAGGTTTCGTACCTTGGTCTGTTCCCCCTGGCAGCCCAGTGGCCGCCATCCTTCAGAGGCCACTGGAAAGTCAGGTTTGGGCCCCCCAGTGATGAGACATGCGAGGCATCATGGGATGGGGGTGGAGCTGGCCCTTTCCTCCCCGACCCAACAATATCCCAAGTCATCGCCCACAAATGGCCTCTCTGGCTCCTGATTAAGCTGCTTGGCCATGATCCCAGAGACTCAGAAACAAATCTTGAGACCCAGCGGCTTTTGGCAGAATGTATCTAGACTGCACAGTAGGTTGCTGTTGCCAGGCCGGGGAGAAAGGGTGCTATCCCTTTGCCTGCTCCCCCTTGGCGGCTCGGTGGCCGCCATCCTCCAGAGGCCATTGGACACTCAGGTTTGGGCCCACAGTGACAAGACACGTGGGGCCTCATGGGATGGGTGTGGAGCTGGCTCTTCCCCCCACCCCCACCCCCACCCCAACGAGACCTTGAGTCACTGCCAACAAATGGCCTCTCTGGCTTCTGACCAAGCCGTTTAATGGCCATGATCCCAGTGACTCAGAAACAAATCTCAGAACCCAGCGGCTTTTGGCAGAAATGTGTCCAGTCCCTGTAGTAGGTTGCTGGCGCTGGGCCACCCCAGGTGGGAATAGGTTTTGTGCCTTGGCCTGTTGCCTCTGGCAGCCTGGTGGCTGCCATCCTCCAGAGGCCACTGGACAGTCAGGTTTGGGCCTACAGTGATGAGACATGTGGGGCCTCATGGGATGGGGGTGGAGCCAGCCCTTTCCTCCCCATCCCAACAAGACCCCTGGTCGTCACCCACAAACGGTCTCTCTGGCTCCTGATCAAGTTGCTTAACGGCCATGATCCAAGAGACTCAGGAACAAATATCAGAACTCTGCAGGTTTTGGCAGAAATCCCTCCAGATTTAATTGTTAAAATTTCAGAATTTCAATATTGCACAACCACTACTGCAGCCACACAACATCATATGTTATTCATAACCAGCAATAGAAAACAAATTGTCTATAGCTGCCTTTTTAGCAGATCTGAGTGTTGGGGTAAAATCCCAAATAATAATGGTGGGTGTGGTGTCAAAATATTGAATGTAATCAAAGTGGAGAGAGAGTAATGTGGAAATCATCTGCCCCACAGGTAAGGGGAGGGTGTGGGATGGGGGTATACTGGGGGTTTTGGTGGTGGAGAATGGGCACAGGTGAAGGTACGGGTGTTTCATTGTATGACCAAGACTTAGACCCGAAAGCTTTGTAACTGCTCTCATGGTAATTCAATAAATAAAATTATAAAAAGTTAAAAATAAAAGTAAGGTGGAGTTCATGCCCAATTCAATCAGCTAATCAGTGGCTGAATAAATAGCAATACTCCTACATATATAAAAAAATAATAATTTTGTTTTAGGAACTTGATTCATAGTTGAATTTCAGCTATACATTTTTCCAACACCTATACTATCATCGGTGTCAACTTCCCACCACCAATCATGTATTTGATTGGTGGATGTATTTGAATGTATTTGAATCATATCAGGAAGGAAATTTCCTGCCATAGAGACAGGCTGGGGAGAGGGTGGCGGATGGAAAATTGGGGACATTGATGGCGGGAAATATACACTGGTGGAGGGATGAGTGTTTAAACATTGAATGACTGAAATTAGACTGTGAACAGCTTTGTAAATCTGCATTTCACAGTGATTCAATTAAAAATAAATAAAATTTTTAAAAAGGAAATGTCAAAAAATAAATAAGGCATCTCTATTTGTCAGAAAAAAATAAATGATATCGAGCAGAAAATTACTGTATTAAAGTTAACACTGGGAAGTTCTTTCAAATATAAACTCTAGCTGTCTCATTTTCTCCTCACCTGCAATGAGTTCAAAATGAATTGTTTCTCTCTACCCAGCTTTTTACCAGACTCAGTAGGTAGCCATATATGCAAGGTGGCCAGTGTGGAAAAAGGGAACACATATACTTCTAGAATAGCTGCTCTGTGCTGGGGGGCCAGGGGACTATGCTAATAAGCACTTTTCAGTCCTTATCTCTCTTAAATAACCAAGTATTATCATCTCATGAAGGAAGAATCTGAGGGACTTGCAGTTGTTTCTGATGGCAATATGCTAATGATTGAGTTGAACTCTGAACTATGTATGACTCTCCAAATCTGACTCCAGAATTTACAATTCACTCATCCATCCAACCTTCACCCACCCATCCATCTATCTTGCCAAAACATTTTTTGAGTACCTACTATATGCCAGCAGTGGTACTAATCACAGAAGATAGAAAATCGAATAGGAAAAGATCTCTGTGATGTGGTTTTGTTTCTGGAGTCATGTGCGCTTTTATATGAAGTTGAACTTAGTGGTTCCTGATCCTCAGGAAAGCGTGTGCAGTGTTCATTTGTAGAGTAACCAGCGGGTGGCAGAGGAGGGGACTGAAGGAGCTGTGTATTTTGCAGGAGGCAATCTTAGGAGAGGAATCTGTAACTAAAGATGAGGGAATTGTTTCAAAATATTTCACGGGGCCTTATGAATACAAAGCTGTCCTGCTTAGCTTCCCCACTGTTATTACTGACCACTTTGTAGAAGACTCAAAAGTTTCATATGTAGGATAAGCTCTATGCCTGTGAGGAGTTTGCTGACATTTTAAGGGCATTAGAGGTTATATAGGTGATCCCAGATCCAGCATAGGTGAACATGCACGAGAAAGTGCTGAGGATACTCCTGCAAAGGACTGAGTGGGACTTTGAATAAGTATTAGATGATCCACAACCAGGGGTGTGGTCAGAGTTAGTGAAATTGCTCTATGGCGACTTGCTGAGACCCTATGTCTGTCCCAGACAGTTCTGACATGGGGTCACTAGTCTCATGAGCGTGTGTGTTGTGTTTTCTTAGGCATAGTTTTTTTGTTTTGTTTTGTTTCGTTTTGTTTTTAGTGAAATACTATGAGGTGTAGACTTACAAATCTTCGTGCTTGGGCTTCAGTTATACAATGATCGAGTACTCATCCCTCCACCAGTGCCCATTCTCCACCACCATTGAAGGGGTGGGGGTGGGGGCTACTGGGATTTAGGCATAGTTTTTATGCAAGGACAAGACAAGAGTTGGGCAATACTTAGAGGTCTCTCCTTTTCCTGTTTCTTTAACTCTAATTTGATCCACTGAAGGTCATTATAATTCCAATAGCACCTCTGGGTCTTGTCAAATTACAAATCTTGGTAAAGATAAACTGTTAATTAAAGAGAAAACCACCAGTTCTGTGTGTCTACACTTATGAGTCACTGCTCTAATTGTACACTGTGTCATGTAGTGTTCAAGGTGTGACACATGGAGCAATCAATGTGAGTTCATTAGAACAAAGCCAGCCCAATTATATGTTGTGCCAATCTTATAGGAGTTGTACTGTTTTGTAGCGAGAAACAGCAAGAATTCCACCAAACTTTTGGTTGTTCTAACCTTGCTAATGTTTAATGTGAGTGTTCTTTGAAGTGTGACTTCAACAAGTAATGGCTGGGAGTATGGACAGCACAAATATGACCATTCCAAAAAGTGCTACCAAGCTTCCCTTCAGTTTCCCAGTCTGTGGACACCCCTTTTCTTGAATTACTTATCTTTCATTGCTTCTGTAATTGCATTCTCCTGATGCCTCTCCTTCCTCTCCAAACTTTACTTCTTAAAAATGATTCATCTGTCATTCCTTAAATGAGCATTTACCAAAAGTCTTACCAAAGATAAATGGAGCATTTCTCTTTTCTCTGTATCTGCTTGATATGAAGGACTCAACAGATAGTTCTGTGTGATTCCTGGGCTTGACTCCCAAAGATGTGCTTTTTAATCTCTCCCAAGTTGATATATTTTTTATTTGTTGCCAAATCTCTGATCCTGCTGACATCTCAAAACCAACCAAATATACATTCTGCTAAGTCTCTAATTGTTCTAAATGCCCAGCAGTCCCTTTTGTTCAGAAGTAAAGTTTCTTTCTCTATGTTTTAGAGGGTGGGAGAGATCTCCCAAGTGGTGCTCAGGAAGCCCGGAGCCCCTTCCAGTGACTGTTAGCCAGCCGGGCCCGCAGTTCCGTGCAACAACCCAGGAATGTGGTATTGCCCAGGCCTCACAGAGATAGTGCCAACTGTGCGTGCATGCATGAGAATTTGTTTCTTTTTCTTTCAGCTCCCATTCGTGTATAAATTCTGACAAGTTAGGAAGGAATTTTTCACTGTTTTGCTTCTGCTATATTTCCAGTACCTATTAGTGACTCACAAATATGTATTCAATGATTAAGGTTCTTAGCAGTGTAAAGAACTTAATAGCGGTTATTGAAAATAAGGTAAATAACAACCATAGAAAGCCAAAAACCTGGAAACTCCATATTGGCAGACACGTTGTTTTAATAATTTCCAGTAATTTTAATGATGAATAAAATACTCACACTACCCACTGTAAATGTCTTATTTTTTCAGGGGAGAAAAAAATTTTCATATATTTTACTACATCTATGCTGGCTTGGCTGAAAAGAAGAAACTAGCTCATTACAAATTAACAGAAAATAAGCCTCCCAGGTAATCCAGAAAGTTGTACTTTTACAAATAATATGTTTACTATCCACTTGATTTTACATTTTGATCCAACCTTTCATATGTTTTTCCAGGTATCTACAAAATGGCCACCTCAGAACAATACAGGACATAATAAATAATAGTTTCTATAAATCCCAGTATGATTTAGTTGAGCAATGTTTCAAAATCATAGGTTTTACAATGGAGGTAAGTGTGGAAAACATTTGGGCCTCTCGAGAAAGTGTTATCCTGTCATTAATGGATAAAGTTAGCATTTATTGAGAGATCAGTACATGATAAGCATTGACCTAAGTGTTTTGCATGCATTACATTTTTAAGTGAAATAATATAGTTTATTTAAAGAAAATTTACTTAGAGAAATGTGAGTAAAGAGAGACAAACATATGTTCAAAAGAAAACACAGACTTCTCCAGAAAAAAATCAGGGTTTTTTTAGTTGACCTTGACCAGAAAGTTATTCCATGGTGGTAAATATCTATTCATTTTTTTCTTTGCTTTTTGAGTTATCCATATTTTGCTAAAAAGGCATCATCATCAAACATTACACCTTAGAATTCTAAATTGACTTGTAATATTTCTAGTTTGCCCTGTATCATTGCTTCTTTTCTCTATTTTTTAATCTTATTTTTAGGTGTTTTATTCTCTCTCTCTCTTACATTCTCAAGGAATTTTAAGTCACCCCCCTTCTAAAATTGATTTTTCTCAGTTTATACTACTATAAGATTTCTGGAATATAATTTAATACTTATGTATCTATATGAAATTCACCATATCTACTGCTATTTTGGAAAAGGGATTTGGTTTTGTACAAATATATAGGAATAGATAAGACAAGAATACTGATATGCCTAGTTGACTACCCTAAATGAAGAAATTAAAAATACTATTAAATGAATGGCGTTCGCCTTACAAGCGGCCAACATGGCCGACCTGAGTTCGATTCCTCCGCCCCTCTTGGAGAGCCCGGCAAGCTACCGAGAGTATTCAATATGCCAGACACAGTAACAACAAAGTCTCCAATGGAGACGTTACTGGGCCCGCTCGAGCAAATTGACGATCAACGGGAGGGCCTTTACCTTTACCTTTATTAAATGAATGTTATCGGACCAGCTTATAGGCTAGACAGTATATCTAAAGATGAATTTTCATAGTATTCATAGCCAAACAAATTATTGTTGTAAGGAAAACTTTTAGAGTAAACTTTCAAACATGGCCTTTCTTTGTAGTTAAAAGAAATGCTTGTCTGGTAGAAGTACTCCCTCTCCAACTGCTTTTACAATCCTCAAATTTAGAGTTCTTTCTTGTGTTCAGAATAAGTACTGCTATTCTGCTTCCAGATGAATTCATTGGATTGGTGGAGAGAGGGAGAAAAGTTGAAGTACAGTAGGAAAACTGCAAGGCTGTTATCATGACTGGGGAGAAACAAAAAGTCTTGAGATCAGAGAGAAATTATTATGATGACTTTCCTAAGAATTCTGCTATTTTTTTTTTGCAGAATGCTTTGAACTATGTAGATTAGAAGAAAGTAGTACTTTTAGACAAAGTAACAAACGAGAGTTCACTGTATCTGTTGACTGCACCATAGGCAAATAGTTAATTCACTGGGAGTCTTGGAGTGAAGTTGAATAATTTTTGATTTAGAATTCATGTGACCCTCTTCACTGATGAGTGAAGCACTCTCAACTGTTTCTTGAAGCCATCTGGAATGCTAGACTTTTAATTCAGACCCTTCATTCATGGACCACTGAACTGCAGCTCCAGTCTGGAAAGCCCATGATGCTGTGGTCAGAAGGCAGAATTCCTTCTCTCTTTGAATGCAGGATATTGCTTTTAGAGTGAATGAAGAATTCATTGCTGGCTAACATTTCCGAAGGGTCTGAGGGACGTTTACAGACAAGATGGTTGCCTGGTTCATCTGAGAGTGTTTAGGGGCTAAATCTCAAGCTGCAGTTCAATCCTCAGATAAAACAAGAAGGAAAAGGAGAAGCAGAAGCAACAAAGGTTGGGAAGGTGGCTCGCTAACAGGAGTACGGGCAACTATCTCTGGTCAAGGAGAGATGGTGTCTGCCCTGCGTGCGGTTAGATATGGTGGTACACATCGTATCCAGTCAGAAAACTGCTTCTAGCCTGATCCGTGTACTTTGGAGTAACAAGGACATTCCCCTAGGTTTTTGTTTTTTGTTTTTAACTATTGTTATCAGAGGAGCTTATCTAACCAAGTCCCTCTTCCAGAGACAGTTATCTTAGAAATAGAAAATCAGGGCCAGAGCAAAAGTACAGTGGGTAGAGCATTTGCTTTGCACACAGCTGACGCAGGTTCAATCCCCAATATCCCATATGGTCCCCCGAGCTCAACCAGGAGTAATTCCTGAGTGTAGAGCTAAGAGAAAAGCCAAAAAAAGGGGAAAGAAATAGAAAATCATTTTAGTTGGTTTGTTTTCTAGTTCCCACTTAGTTGGGGTAATAACCTGCTTAGATTTGGCTTCACTACTTTCTCTTGCTTGTGAGAGTAGTGTTTAATGTCATCAAAATGAATCAGTCTTGTCAAGTTAACATCTCTCTACCAACAAACAGAATTCATTTATTTAAAATTGTATTTTCCAGCCTTAAACTGACACACTTTGCTGTAGTTTCCTTTTTGATACTTTCCTTTTAATAGCTTAGCATCATAGCTCAGGCTAAAGGAAAACATTGCTTCTGTTTCTGGAAGTACAAACATGGGTATTTTATAAAGACCTTCTGTCAGGTTCTAGGTGCATGTCTCGAATATTGGGATCTTCCACGGAAAAGCAGAAACTCAGAGAGTCATCAAACTGTTTGGAAAGCATAGAGTTTACACGAATGGATCCTGACTTTTCTTTCAGTCAGTTCCTATTTTTTGATGCTATTTAACTGACCTTTGAATAGCTGCTTTGATTCCAAGCTGGGAAGAAGCAACTTAGACAGAGGTTACTCCTGGCTCTGCACTCAGGAATTACTCCTGGCGGTGCTCAAGGGACCATATAGGATGCTGGGAATCGAACCTGGATTGGCTGCATGCAAGGCAAACACCCTACCTGCTGTGCAATCACTCCAGCCCCAGAAGAAGCAACTTAAAGCTTAAACAAATTAAGCAATATGATGGGTCCCCTTTGCTCAGCACAGCAGGATGTCTATAGTGGTGACTGTGGCACAGTTTCAGTGACTGTCCAAAGGAGAGTTGGCCTGTCCCTCTCTGCCTCTCCCTTCTGTCTCTGCTTGGTGCTGGTAGCACCTCCGGCAGATGTGTCCCTTTAAATACTGCTGGGTTTTGCCCTTCACTTGCTCATTGTGATTCAGCACAATGCAAAAGAATGACAGGCAACTCAAAGTCTGATAGTCTCTAGAAGGAAATATGAATTGGAAACCTCCAAGACTTAGCAGCATATCATTTCCTAAGCCATTTTCCTGCCATCATTTTAAAATTACTGGTTAATAGTTTTTTTGAGTCAGCATATGGGGAGGCAGTCTCTACCACATCGTGGCAGGCATTTTTGTTTCTCTTTTCACAGAGTCATATGTCTTATGTCTCAGATATGAATGCCTTTATATGCTGCTTTGTTTGCTTTACATTTCTTGTGATGTTCTCAAATCACAATCCAGTGCATTTGCTTTGATTAGTTATGGTCAAATGAAACTTGTGAAAGAAAAAATTAAGTGTATTAAAGCATCACACAAATTGGTGAGCTTTTCTGAAATAGTTTATTTTGGCCTTCTCAGATGTGATCAGGGACCCAGGATATCTCCTAGTGATCCTTGTTTGAGGACCCCCAAAGCTACTCTCAGTACTTCTCAGGGGACCATATACTGCAGGCAATAGAAGTCAGGGCCCTGTGCATGCAACACATGTGCTCAAAACCTTTGAATTACCACACTTGGCCACCAAATAGTTTCGTTTTAAAATGCTGTTATGGGTCAGATGTCGGGGACATGCATGCAGTCCCCGTCCTTTCTTAGGGCCAGCATTACTTCTTGACTTTTCCTGCACTAGATTAAGTAGCACCAACCCTCCTAGTCTGGGTAGTATCCCTTTGTTATGGTTCATCATGACCTCATCTCCTCAAGTCCTAAAGAAATCAAGGAGGGGTGCTTACTTGTGAAGAGTTTGTGACTGCTAGTTATGGAGGTATCTACTGGGTAAGCACCACAGACAGAAAACGTTGACATTGGAAAAACAAATGCTCTGTAGCATATGGGATTTTTCTCTGAGTAACAGATGAAGCTTGTGGGCAAGCGCCAAAGTAGAGCAGAAATGTCTAGAGCAGCCGTGGCGTCTGGTACATCAGAAAAGTGAAGGTTTGACTCGTCATCAAATAAGGATCATTTTTCCTGAAGTCCTGTGAGAAGAGTAGAGGTCCAGCCTCCTTGAGTGCAGACAAAAGTATAGCACAAGGTAGAGTAGATAGAAGGAATTCTGGATGTTTTCCTGACTCTGAAGAGCTCTTGGGAATCATAATCTTCCTGTAATCCACTTATATTCCCCAGCAGAAAAATGCAGGGCATTTTATAAGCAGAGAACAAGGATTTAAATTTCATCTTATTCAAGTTCATGGAAAACTATTAGATTGCTTTATGCCTTGATGGCTTTCTATATGAAATGGAAATTTTTTTGACTTTTTATTTGTTTATTTATTTTTATATTTTTATTAGTGAGACATCATGAGGTACAGTTGTAGACTTACAAATTTTTGTGCTTGGGTTTCAATTATACAATGATCAAATACCCATCCCTCCATGAAATGGAAATTTTTATTTTGCTTATGATTCTTAACCATAAAACAGTGAATTTTGTTGAACTCCTGGGGGATGACCAACAGCAGAATTGATTAGTCTTTGTACCATGAATAACACAAATGCTCAGCAAACCCATGCCTGAAAACAGGCTGAGCCAGGGCCCTGATTTTCTTCCAGATTCAATTCAAATAAAGGTTGAATATATAGTACATCAGGAAGAGCCCCTTTATCCTAATGGGGTTATAAAAATCATTCTCTAAAAGTTGAATAGGCATTGCATGTTCATTGATTTAGCATATGATTCTCCAACTTCTGTTAGAAATATTACTTTGGAGCTTAAATGTTTGAACTTTCTAGTCTGTTTTTAAAAAAAAAAAACAAGTTTTTAAAGGAACACAGTTTTCAACATTCTATTCAAAAGTAAGTTCCTCATACATTGTACCCCTAGGATCATAGTTTTCCTCAGGAAAATATATAGCATAATATCAGATAATGCATTCAATCTCATTTGCCGTGAAAGCCCATGCTGGCTCCTGTTTTGCAAGTTTTACCTATTACTAGTGAAGATTCCTTACCAAGATTATTTTCTTAGACAAGTCATTCACATTCAATCCACAGACCTGTCTATTTCTCTACATCTTAAATATATCCAATTCGTCTTCTTTCCAGCTCTGCCATTTACCATTCCATCACTGTTATTTCTTATCTACCATAGTTCTCTGACTATTTTACTTTATCAACACTTTCCAATATATTTCTACATAGTAGCCAGACTCACATGTTTAAAATATATTTGCTTTGAAATCTCCAGTGAGTTCCAGAGACATATATATATATATATATATATGTCTCTGTGTGTACGAATTTCTGAGTATATTTTAATGTTTCTTATGTTCCTTATTTAGCATTTTATTTTAAATAAGTAATAATTACCATACATTCTTAAGTTATAATCCAGAGTTCTCAGACTTATACTTAAACCATGCACATTTCTGTGATTTGGATACTAGGATCTTTAGATTTTTCTTTTATTATTCTCGTTTATTCACAAATACCACATCACTTTGCTGAGGACCTCAAGGAAGATAAACCTAAAGAGATGACCACATTAAGTTCTGGATTTAAATTTCACACAGATAGATATATGTCTGTAGGCTGATGAATTATGTAGTTTTACTTCCTCAGAATAGGCACTTTTTGCTTCAATATTTTATTTCTTTTGATTTTAAGAAACATCTTTAGGTGCTGGAAAGATAATATATTACTTGCCTTACACTTGACAGACCCAGGAGTGAGCCCCGATCACAGAGCCAGAAGTCAGCCCTGAACACTACTGGGTGTTCCCCTAATAACAACAACAGACATCTTAAAGCATTAAGAAAATTATAAGCACCATATGCACTCAAAGATTAAAATAATTATAATTATAAACGCTGAGCTTACTTGAATCTCTGCCTTCTTGGGTCTCTTGATTTGACACTGTAGGAAGTCAGATGACCTTGTGATGCTATAGCCTAAACAGTCTTACCTATCCAGCCTTTCCTCAGATAGACTAACCATCTTGCTCTACTCAAGAGAGTGATGTTAACATTTCAATGGTGTGTTTCAGCAACTTGGAAGTGTATACAGTGTCCTGGCCGCCATACTGAACGTTGGAAATATTGAATTTTATTCTGTGGTGACTGAACACCAGACTGACAAGAGTCACATTTCCAATCACACAGCTCTAGAGAACTGTAAGTTTTACTCTCTATCACTTAAAACTGAGCTCTTTAAAGTAAAAAACAAAAATCCTAGTAACATCTCTAAGTCTCACAATAATGGTAATGTTAAGAAACTATACTATAGGGATTTTTTTAAAGGAATACTTAGATTCAGTGATGTAAAATGAAAAATGTAACTTCATTATTTATGCTGCCAAATGTACTACAGTAGAAAAAATTCTGTAGACCAGATTTTATGAATATTTTAGGAGTTATTTACCTTTCTATATAAAAGCACAAAAAATGTAATTAAAATTTGTTAAGCTGATCTGACAAATAGTTAAAATTATCTTGTGTTTAGATATTTTTATTCTCTGGGAAATTACTCATTGTCTTGATTTCTTCTAATAATGTATTTGTTTATTTTTTAGCTGCTTCTTTGCTTTGCATCCAGGCAGATGAGCTACAGGAAGCTCTCACATCCCACTGTGTGGTCACTAGAGGAGAAACAATTATACGGCCCAATACTGTAGAAAAAGCTACTGATGTCAGAGACGCAATGGCCAAAACTTTATACGGACGTCTCTTTAGTTGGATAGTCAACTGCATTAACAGCCTTTTAAAATATAACACATCACCAAGGTGAAAGTCTTTATTGAAACATTTCCCCAGAATCTGTCTTCTGGGGACAGATATTGACTTCTTTTTTTATGGATTTTTAGTGGATTTCTAATTTATTGACTTCTAAATGAGTCCCTTTGATAATATTTCTAATTGTATCAGGTTTATAGTTAGTAGATCTGCATTATTTCCTAATAGTAGATTTTTATATTTTGATACATAGGTAAAAATATTTACTGGATAATGAAAACAACATGAATTAACATTGTAGAGAGTAATGGGGGGGCATTGGGGCTGCACCTTAGGTGCTCAAGGACTTACTCCTGGCTCAGTGCTCAGAGATCATTCCTGGTGGGGTTCAGGAAACATATGGCATGCCAAGGATTGAACTCTATTTGGCCCCCTGCAAGGCAAGTGTAATAACTGCCCTACTACACTCTGACTTGAGACAGTAAATTTTTATGTGACATTTTTATGTCAACTTCATTTGTAGCACAATAATTCAATATTTATATGCATTATAAAATGATCATGATAATGAATCCATTTAGCTTCCATCACCATACAATTATCAAAATAATTTTATTCTTAGGGAGAAGGCTTTTAAGATCTACTCTCTTAGCACCTTACAAGTACGCTATACAGTGAACCATGTTGTACATTACACCCTCATGACTTATTATTTTATTTTTAAATTTTTTTCACAATATAAAAATTATATTATTCGCATGGTGCAATGCCTGTATATGCGCTAGAGTGACATATAAACATTAACTGTGAATTAAAATGAACACGCATTAGTAGTAAGTATTTTTACATAGAATACTGTAGTAATTTCATATCATACATTTTTATGTAACTTCCCATGGACTTGTATTTATTTTAAAAATTAATATAGCATTTACATCCTATTTTTTAAAATTTTTTATCAGTGAATCACTGTGAGGTAGTTTCAGACTTACAAACTTTCATGCTTGCGTTTTAGTCATACATTGATCAAGTACCCATCCCTCAACTACTAATGATCCCAGTATCCCTCCCAACAACCGCACTTCATCCCCCTCCACCCCACCCTGCTTCTGTGGCAGGGCATTCCCTTTTGTTCTCTCTCTCCTTTTGGGTGTTGTGGTTTGCAATAGAGGTATTGAGCAGCTATCATGTTTGGTCTATAGTCTACTTTCAACACACATCTCCCATCCCGAGCGAATCCTCCAAACACCCTTTACTTGGTGTTCCCCTCTCTGTCTGAGCTGCCTTTCCCCCCAGAATGTGAGGTCAGCTTCCAAGCCATGGAACAAACCTCCTGGTACTTATCTCTACTATTCTTGGTTGTTAGTCTCCGATTCTGTTACTTTGTATTCCACAGATGAGTGCAATCTTTCTATGTCTGTCCCTCTCTTTCTGACTCATTTCACTTAACATAATACTTTCCATGTTGATCCACTTGTATGCAAATTTCATGACTTCATCTTTTCTAACAGTTGCATAGTATTCCATTGGTAGATGTATCAAAGTTTCTTTAACCAGTCATCTATTCTTGGGCACGTGGGCTTTTTGCAGATTTTGGCTATTGTAAACAGTGCAGCAGTGAACATACAAGTGCAGATGCCCATGATTTATTTTAAACTGGTCCATTTCACTCACTGTCACCCTCAAATCTCCCACAAAATTTGAAGATTTTATACAAATATAAAGAATTATAGATTTTGGCAACTATCAACCTGTTCTCCATATCCATGAATTTGCTTTTTAGATTTCTTTTTCAGAATTTTTTTCTCTTTAATGTTCCAGCTTACTATTGATGTATTTAATCAGCATTACTATGAAATATAAACCATTTTATGCAAGTCATTTTTGCAAACTTTTTATGCAAGTATTTCAACAGTTCTTTGTTGAGTGTTGTTTTGGATCAGTGGTAGGGGAACATGCATTCAGTCCCTGTCCTTTCTCAAGGGCAACATTGCTTCTTGACTTTCCCTGAACTAGATTAGGTAGCAACAATCCCCCTATCCTGGGTGGAATCCATTGACATGGTTCATGACCCCATCTCCTCAAGTCCTAGAGAAATCAGGAGAGATGGTTACTTGGGAAAGGACTGACTGCCAGTTATGAAGTTACAGTTCAAGTAGTACTCATAGGGGGTCACTCTCCTCAAGATATTTCACCCAACAGACCAAAGATTTAGTGCCTGTCCAATGATTTTTGGAATCAAAAGGATCACACTTGGCAAAGCTCAGAGCACCACGTAGTACTGGGAATAGAGTTTAGGGCCTCCACATGCCATGCATACACTCCAGCCCTTTCAGTTATTTTCTTAGCCCCAGAATTAAATCTTGAAGTCACACGAAATCTCTCATATCTCAGCTCTCATTGTCACCTCTTATGAATTCAGGTATTATGATCTGCAGTAAAATTTGCTTCAGAAATGTTTGCATAACTAAAGGCTGGAGCCAGGATATAAATAATACTGTTACTAATCACAGTCTCATGGCCTGCCTTGGAACTCATCTTAGAAATTAAAAAAAACATCACAACCATATTAACTGAGTGCTCTATATATGCCTGGAATTACACAGATACAAATTCTTGCATTTCAATTTAAACTTTGTTCAGTCACAAATTATACAGCCTTTGGAAATTTGTATTGAAGAAATAACATGAACTCTCATCCTCTGATCACCCAGTCACCTAATGGATATACAGTTCACTGTTATTTTTTCACTGAAATAATGTGTTGCACCATAAATATTAACTCGATAATATCCAACTGAATATTGCCTCTTTATCTTCCAATGAAATTGTACCCTACCTAATTGAATCTTCAGATCACAATCCAATTTGCCTATGACTTCAAATTCAAAGAGTTAATTTTTTCATTATTTAACTATTTATATAATGTCAGACATTCAGATGAAAATGGAAATATTAAAGTTTTTGAAGTGTCTGACTTCAAATCAGGCGATCTGCTGCTACTCTATTGTAACCTATCTGCTACAACGTTTCCACACAGAAATTACAACCTTTTGTATAAAATTTCAAAAAAACAGTATCATACAAATGATTCTCCATAGTCTGTCTAAATTTACAATATTTTTTTTAAAAACTTGTTCTCTCTTCCTGACTTTGCTCCCAGCTTCATATTTTCTCTATTAAGGAAGTTTTAGGCATGTTTCAGTGTCTTATTCTTCTCAGCTTTTAAGTATGGCCGTTGAAGGACAAGCTTTGTTTATGTTGGCATCTTAGAGACTTTCAAGAACCTCTTTAAAACTATGTCTTTTATGCAAAAAAAATTAATGGATGTCTTTATATATACCTACCAATTCATTGTACACAGCTATGATTCTTTATAATCATAATTGGAGGGTTCCTACGTGATCACAATGTGAAATCCCTGATCTAGATCATCTCTTAAGCCCTCCTGGCTCTCATTAATTAATATATGAGTTGAATATTGATCTCAGTTGGGTAGAACGAAGAGATAGTAAAAGACTAGTCAGACTAGACTTCCTTTTGACTAAACCAGCATAGATTTTAAATAGACACTTTGCCTGATAAAACCAGGGACTTGCAGTTACTGTTCAAGAATAGAAATTTTCAGAATTTTCCCAATAGCTTTCCTTTTGTTGATCCTGTCATATAGTCAAAATGTTTTTCACCTCTGCATTCTCAGTTCAATCAATTTCTCCAAATATAGCATGCCCTTCAGCTCACAGCACGCAGCTGCTCGCTGTGAGCAATATCCAAGTTACTTCCTTACACAAATTTAAGGATCACCTAGATTATGTAAATTCTGGGCATAAAGAGAAATATTTCTACTTCCCTTTTAAAATTCACATCAAAACCCCTTTGCAGTGTATTTATTTCTAATCAGAGGAGCAAATTTTTTGACCTAGAATCTCTAACCATTTATGAAGAAGATACCATTATGAGGAAGAGGGAAAAATGAATTTGGAATATTTAATTGTTAAATGGAATTTAGTTTTATTTTTTATTTTAATTATAAAGTAAGTTTATTTTATCTTCCCCTATATTAAGTTCTGATGAAGTGAATAGCTGCCAAATAAGCAATATTTAAATTAATAAAACTATTTATCAAGATGTTTAAATTCATGTTCTACAGTGAAAAACTAAATTTACCATCACTGAATTTTTGCTCTAACAAAAATCGATTTTTATTTAGCAGAACTTTGCTGTCATCCTGAGTGCCAGCCAGGTTTCCCCAGTAATTCATGATTTACTCCGGTGGTGATCTGATGCTCACAAACCCATAAGAATATAAGTGATTTTGTTTATGCATGGAAGGTGGTATTATACTTTGAATTCTTAGTCCAAGAAAAAAAGCCATATCATTTACATATTAAAATCAATGCTACCTACTTTATGTTCTTTGGAGGGAAACTTTTTAAATTAAGAATTTCACTCTAAATGTATGTCCTGGCCATAATTTTCTGGCTAAATAATAAAAGAATACTCATAAATTACCTTTTTTAGAAATTAAGCAAGAATGCAAACTAATGCCTTCTTTAATTTTCCAGTGAGAATGGTGATGAACTGAGTATTGGCATTCTGGATATATTTGGCTTTGAAAATTTCAAAAAAAATTCCTTTGAGCAGTTGTTCATTAACATTGCAAATGAACAAATTCAATATTACTTCAATCAACATGTGTTTGCCTGGGAACAGGTAAGTCAAAGGATTGCTATGCAAATGGTACAATGAAATGAGATCTAAATTGTGCATTTAAAGGCTTGAGAATTTAATAAAGCAAAGATTTTCTTTTCTCAATGCCCATGTGAAAACAAAACTCATGAAAATGAGAATGAATCCAGTGTGGCTTGATATGTGGTATGGATTTTCCTGCATCAAAAATCAGTGCATCTTATTTTAAAACTTAGCAAGTCTGAACCCTTTTAAATGACGTTTCTTTTGGAAATCACAGTGAGCAGATGTGTCTGTTTCTCTTTCTCTAGACTGCATAGCAGAAATTCTGTTTAAAATTTAAATATCCATCTAAAATGCATTAAACTTCAGAATTCTAGTAGCTAAGCAACAGAACACAAGTTAATGGGGTTTGATGCAAATGCCATGAAACAGTAATTTTGTCAGGGTACAGTGTGTAATTTATGAGTCAGCTTCAAAAATATTCTTCCTTAGAGAAAAATCAGAGACTTACTTGAATTGCATTTGCCAAAACTTATATATTAAAACTATTACATTATTTTATCAAGTTTTATCATTGTTTTATCAACTATCAAGTGTAATGATAATGATAAATGCACATTCCTCTTTATTAGTGTTATCTTTTAGCACAGATATATGATGAAGTCTCTTAAAAACAAAAGCTTTCCTCTACCCAGCTTACATCTGAAGCATGAACCAACTCTTCCCTTCATGGCCAAGCTCCTTCGTATTCAGCATGCCTCTCTTTGTATTGATTTCTCCCCACCTGGGTACATTAAGTTCACAGCACCTGGTTGTGACTTCCTCCCACTTTACTGGACGACTGTCTAATCTCATTGATCATTCACTATATCACTGTCATCCCATTCTTCATCGATTTACTCGAGCAGGTGCCAGTAACGTCTCCATTAGTTCCATCAGAAATATTTTTATTTACAGAAAAATTATAAAACTTTTGGGCAAAAAAACCTCTGTAATTTTGGGCCCTCTTTACAGATTCTTCTGTTCTGCTCCCTAACACTTTTTTTCTATTTCTTGTCCTCTTTACAGATCCCCCTGTACAAGTGGTTAAAACATTTTCAGTCCTGACTACATAAACGAATTGCTTTGGGTATCTGTAAAATCTCAGGGTTCAGAGCCTGTCCTGGATGAATTCAATCTGATATATTGGGATGATAACAAAGTATCAGTAGTTTTAAGGTCCTGCTATATTTCACTGTGCAACCAAGTTTAGAGAATCTGTCTTTAAAGTTAGTTTCCCACAGTTCTAGCCTTGACCCTCTTCATATTTACAAAGAGATCATCTATTTCCTTTATGTTAGTCAACACTTGCTACGTGCCAGTGTGGTTCAAGTCCCCATCTCCAACACAAAACCTCATTCTGAATTCTTGGCTTCAGTTTTCAGAACTTTATCCAGAATTGGGCTCATCCTCTTTTGCCCTCATTCATATATATAACACATATATATTCTAAATGAATCGTCTCTACCAAATCACTTATTTTTTAAAAAAAAATTTAAACATAAGGCAGAGTTTTATTTATTTTTGGCTTTTGGGGTCACACCTGGCTATGCTCAGGGGTTACTCCTGGATTTGCACTCTGGAATTACTCCTGGTGATGCTCAGGGGACCATATGGGATGCTGGGGATTGAACTGGGGTCGGCCTCGTGCAAGACAAATGCCCTTACTGCTGTACTATTACTCCAACCCCCTAATCACTTATTAAAATCAAGAAAGTTATATCTTATTTCTCAATACTGAAATCCAGAAAATCTAAGGAGATTTTTTTAATATTCCTTCTTCCTCTCTTTCCTAATAAAAGTATTTGACAGTACAATATTTGGTTTACCTTTTTGCCTTGCCCCCTAGGCTATACTACCTTGATATCAAGTGCTGTCTTTTAGTTATATTTGTCTTCAGAGCCTGACAGCAAGAGCCCCTTAAATATTTATTAAATTAATGTGTTGTATTACTTTAGTAGATATGAACACAATGTTCTCAAATCCCAGTCTAATCAAAGATTGAAAGTAAGATTTTTTGTTTAAAAATTTTATAAGAATCTATAAGGGTAATCTAAAACTGTATATACAATCTGATTAACTAACAACTTGTGTTGTAGACATTTATTCTTCTATTTGCAGGTGGGGGTATGAAGGGTGTAGATAAAGCTGGTTTTATTGGAACTGGTCTTTAGATCACTATGCATATTTCTCAATAATTACTTGATTTCCATATTTTATAAAAGCATTGCAGTTTTGAGTTCACTTTGATTTGTAGCCTTAAATTTTATCTCTGAGCCTAATGCTTCTAATTCTTTTGCTTCAGACTTTCTACAGTGGAAACTATTCTGGACGGTTATTGTAAAAATATCCTTGAAAAATTCCCAAGACAAAACAGCTCAAAATATCTCCCAACTAATTAAAAATTGAACTAGGATCCGTAATTATACAAAGCACTTTGAGGAATTAAGATCTTTTTTTGTCATTTGAAGTGCCTTTTTCCCCCAGAATATCTGCTTTTCTTTATTAACTTCTATAAAAAAGAACTTTCTAAGCCAAAATATGAATTAAAGTCTAGGTCACAGTTTTGAGGTTGATCTGAGTTAAGTCATTATTGCTTATCAACAACATAGAATCTTCTCAAGTTCATAGACATTCAAATGACATGGTCTACCTGAGTAGGACACGAGCCCTAAGCGATACCTTATTAGGTAAAACAATCTATAGTTATACTCAAATAAACATTTTAAAATTTAAAATTCCTACAATATTAAAACATTAGTTTACCTGAAATCCTTTCTTTAAGCCTGTTTGGTTGATGGTAGTTCACCCTTTTTCCCGAGGCATCTGTTTCAAGCCCCCCAGTGAACAGCATACTGGAATGAGATTTTTGTGAACCTAGAGTCTCTAGAAGTATACCTTCTAGTATGCAATATTTTCAGACAGTGGCTAATGGTAGATAACTGAAACCATACAAAATGAAATTGAATAATGAAATAGTCCTGTGCATGCAGTAGAGAGTTGGGCATTCACAAAGTTGGCTGTGAAGGTTCCCATTACTTTCCACAAAAATAGTAATCAACATACTACAGTAAAACATTTTTAGTGAAAGCACCTATAGTCAGTACCTAATCCATAGTTTGCTGGGCATATTATTTGTGTTTCTTGAAGTGATCACCTCCAGCTATTTGTATTATCTTTGGAACACATTCCTTCAATGTATTATATATGTATCTATATCTCAGTGATGCAGATATGAAATTTATATTATTTTATGTTGGAATTATTATATCAATAAAAAGTAATGAATATGTTCCTAAGTATAGAAATCCCATTTTCAACTTGCTATCAGGCATCCCTCATTTCTGTCTATAACCTACTTTTCCAGGATAGAGCGATAGCGCAGTGGGTAGGGCATTTGCCTTGCATGCGGCTGACCTGGGTTCGATTCCTCCATCTCTTGGAGATCCCAGCAAGCTACCAAGAGTATCTCCCCCACACGGCAGAGCCTTGCAAGCTCCCCGTGGCGTATTCAATATGCCAAAAACAGTAACAAGTCTCACAATGAAGATGTTACTGGTGCCAGCTTGAGCAAATCGATAAACAACAGGACAGTGCTACAGTACTAACCTACTTTTCTAAAGACATAAATTATTTGCCTCATAATCTCAAAACCCAACCAGAAGTATCCATAACTACTTGGTTCCCCTTTTCTCCCTTATAGTTTAGATATTTGGGATGTCTAAGATAGTTGATTTAGAGTAAAATTATTTTATTTTTATATACAGCTCCTCAAACTGGAGAGAGGGAAAATGTCTATTTCAAACCCCCAAATATTTTGATACACACACACACACACACACGCTGAAGCAATAGCACAGGGAGTAAAGCGTTTGCCATGCACGCAGCCACCATGGCCAACCCAAGTTCGATTCCTCCGCCCCTCTCAGAGAGCCCGGCAAGATACCAAGAGTATGTCTCCCGCACGGCAGAGCCTGGCAAGCTACCAGTGATGTATTCGATGTGCCAAACACAGTAACAAGTCTCACAATGTTACTGAGCCCACTTGAGCAAATTGATGAACAATGGGAGGACCATGACCGTGATATATATACACATATATATCTACATGTACATATATCATAATTGTAACATTTTAAAATTTGACTTAGTCAAATTCTTCTAAATTGCAAATAAAAGTTTTTTTTAATTTTAACTTTATTTCAAAGAATCTTCACATTTCCTCATTTCTTATTACATTTGTATGGCATTATTTTATAAAAGCAATCTTCCCTATTACATTTTACACAGGCATTTTACTTTTGTGTTTTCCAAAAATACCTTTATTTAGTAGCCCAGAGGGCAACAAACCAGTTGCCCCATTTGCAATAAAAGCAGCATTTTTTCCTTTAATCTTTATTGGGGTAATACTACACTTGATCTTAGCCAAAAGGGCCCTCTCAGAGAGCCCAACAAGCTACTGAGAGTATTCCGCCCACACGGCAAAGCCTGGCAAACTCCCCGCGCCATATTTGATATGCCAAAAACAGTAATAAGTCTCACAATGGAGACATTACTGGTGTCTGAGCAAATCGATGAACAACGGACAGTGCGACAGTACTACAGTGCAATCTTTATTGGGGTACTATGATTAACAATACTGTTAATAATGGTTTTATGGCATCATTCCAACAGGACACCAAACATCAGTGTGCCCACTTCCCTTCACCATGTTCCCAAACCCCCTTCTATCCAAACTCTCCCTCCTCTACCCACTCCCTGTAAATTCAGCTCTATGGACCAACTCTACATTTATGTTGTCTTTGGACATCTGTTGCTACTGTATTGTTTATGCTTAAATCTCACATATTTGATAAATCATCTGTATCTATCCAATTTCTCTGACTGACATTACTCAACATGATACTCTAGTCACACTCATATAGGAGCAAATTGAGCGATTTTGTGCTTTCTTATAGCTCAAGAGTATTATATGTGTGTGT